GATGGGCTGTGAGCTACCATGTGGGTGCTGGTAATTGATCCCAGGTCCTATGGAAGAACAGTCAGAGTAAACTGCTGAGGCAGCTCTCCAACTCCCACTAAATAAGCTTTATTCTTCTCTCATGGAACATAATCATAGGTTACTCTACAGGTCAATATATTTGAAAAGGAGTTTGTTTGTTCTCCCTCCATGGGGCTCTGTTTGTTTGTTTTGATGCTGGTGTTGAACCCAGAAAATCATGCATGCTAATTACTGACAAAAGGTTTTAATATGATGTACTTTGGGGTTTTTTGTCTGATCCTTTTAAAATGAGATAACCTAAACACATTTTATATATTAATTGTACTCTTTTAATTGGCCTCCTTGAGCATCCTTCATTTTTACGCTGTTTATTGAACCACTACTACTTTCAGGAATGATTATGATAACCTGCAGACTGGGTTGAAAGGCCATCACATTTGATGGAATTTGAATTCCTGTCAGAGCTATTATTTGTTTCAAATATGAGCAATATGGTTTCAGTCCTTTTACCAGGCCATGTTCTCTCTTTCTATTGATTTCCTGCCTCTATAAGAGCAATAAATCTTTTTAGGGAGTAGTAAACAGGAAAAGGCAGTTCCACCTTGATAACTACTACTATGGTATAGATACATATACAATATCACGGGCATAATATTCAAGAAACTGTGTTAGGACTTTGAGAATCTAAAGTTGGCAATTTCATCTCTCATAATGCAAAGAAATATAAAGTATTTATACATCATAAAGACATTGTTAAATATATGGACACTTATTATTTTACTAAAAAGGAATCCAGATAAAGACAAGCTCCAGAGTTGATATTCAGGCTCACGATGCCTCTGGCCTTCCTGACTAGCTGTCATCAATGGTTTGATAGTTTACATTCAGAGTTACATATGAATGTTCACAACAACTGTATTAACTATAAAACGATTGCGTTCTTGAACAGTCACATCCAAAGGCAGAAAAACAGCAGGTTTTCTCCAACTGCACCTTCTCACTGAGAAATAAATGTTTCCTCAAAACCCTCTAGGTTCCCTCCTTCATTTCTGATTGCTTCAGATTGTATCATGTGCCTGTACCTTAGCTAAAGAAAAGTGTGCAAGTTTTGTTTATTCTTAGGTGGACAATTACTAGTGTCTACCACAAAGAATAATACAAGATCACTGGCTGTGGAGGTAAATTAGAGAATCCTAGCATTTAGTAGGCTGAGGCAAGGGGATCATAAGTTCCAGACTTGCCTGGGCTATACAGAAGGACCCTGTCTCAAAAAGAGAAATCACAGTCCTCTTTCATGAAAATTTTTTAGCTGGGCATGGCAACACATACCTTAATCTTGGCACTCAGGAGGCAGAGGTAGGTAGATCTCTGTGAGTACCAGGGCAGCCAAGGCTTCGTAGATAGACCCTGTGTCAAAAACAAAAAGAAGGAAAACTAAATTTAAAGAAAGATTTCTGCAAATGAGTTGAGGATACTTTTGACTGTAGGTTCAATTCCCCATGTTTGTGGGAGTGGAATCTCTGAAGGCAAACATATGACTGCAAGAACTTGATAAATAAGAAAGAAGCTTCAGAGATGAATGAAGCCATGCACACATTGATGTAGAACGAAAGCTTCACTGGATACACCTGAGTCCTTTCTCTTTGGCGTGGAGGCTGAATTTTCATTCAGCCTGGAAGATAGAGAAGAAGGAAGGAAAAAGGGGACAAAAGGGGAGGCACCAAACTTTAAAACATCTGAGGTCAGAATTATATTATACTAGCCCTCTTCCTAATAGTCCAGCTGTCTAGGTGAAGCACCAGGGAGAAATTTATTCATAAAGTTCTGGAGGAAATACAAAGTAGTTAGAATCCTCCGATGTTACTCTGAAGGCTATTTCAGGAAACAAAGAAAACCCGGTATTTGTCAGAAAAAAAAAAAAAAAAAAGAGCCACTCTCACTTTTGTTTGCAAAAGCATTTGAGAAATAGTTTCTTGTTATGTTTTTGTGTGGTAGGACTCTGGGTTACTTCAGGGGAATTCTATCTAACCTGACAAGCTCCTTCAAAACAACTTCAATTTCTCCCTTTTCTTCCTCCTCCTCCTCCTCTCCTCCTTCTCCCTCTTCCTCTTCTTTTGAGACAGTGTCTTCTGATGAAATGTAGCCCCACCTGAAATTAATTGTGTAAGAACCATCAGACTTGGCTGGTTTTGTTTTATATAAGGATTTGCCAGGTAGTCCAGGCTGGTCTCAAACTCTCACCACCCAGTATCAGCCACTGGAGTGGTGGGATTGGAGACATGGGCCATTCATGTGATTTCAAAACATTTTTAAAACTCAAATATCTATGTTATGACTCAGTATTTACCTTTTCATTTTAGGTATACATTAAAAATCCTGCCACTTGCCTTGTGATGTGGCATATGCCTTTAATCCCGGCATTCCAGAGGCAGAGGCAGAGGCAGGCAGATCTCTATGAGTTGGAGGTCAGCCTGGTCTACAGAGTGAGTTCCAAGACAGTCAAGGCTACAAAGAAAAACCCTGTCTCTAAAAAGCAAAAACAAAAACAAAACAAAAAATCCTGTCACTTGGTTGAGAGGAACTGTAGGGAAATAATTCTTCTTATTTTTTATTTTGTATTTCTTTATTATTGATTAATTGATTTGGTGCTAGGGTTGAACCCAAGACTTTAAGCATGCTTTAAAAAAAAAAAAAAAAAGTGTTTTCTATAGCCCTGAGCAATTCCTGACCCCAAAGAGTACATTTTGGTAGAGAAGGTTCTAAGATACAGTCATGTCCTTGGTAGGTCAGAATAGATGACACTTTCAAAAGTTCTTTCCTCTCCAAATTTATTTTTGGTCATCCTGTATTTGAAAAAGCTCTTGTTTGGCCTTGCCATTAAACATGTATAAGATACTATACATAGACCTTTTTTTTTTTTTATTAACCTTAGAAGATTTTGATGTGTTTTTTCTTAATTCTTTTCTAAGTGTTTTGAACAAGAACTTATGTGGCTCAGGCTGGCCTCTAACCCACCTATAATCTTTTTTTTTTTTTTTTGATTTTTCGAGACAGGGTTTCTCCGTAGTTTTTGGTTCCTGTCCTGGAACTAGCTCTTGTAGACTAGGCTGGCCTGAACTCACAGAGATCCGCCTGCCTCTGCCTCCTGAGTGCTGGGATTAAAGGCGTGCGCCACCACCACCCGGCTCCCCACCTATGATCTTAAGCTCCTGCTTCTGCTTTCACTTGATGGAATCACAAATGTGGGTTTTGATGTCTTTATTGCAGAACAGAGATATCTTTTTTAGATCTTCTCCCACAGGATGTTGAAGAATGGCTGAATTCATGCAGATGCCAAATTCTCTAATTCAATGGTTCTTAACTCTTCCATCACCTGAGAAGACTTTATTTAGAACTCTCTTCCCTCCTTTTATACAAGGTTTCATGCAGTCCAACTTTGATATGTAGCTCCAGCTGGCCTTGAACTTAGATCCTTCTACCTCTACCTTCCAAGTGCTATGATAATGGGAGTATACCACTGTGCATGGCTCTAGGAGTTTTTAGGGAACCTAAAAATTTAGGGAATCATGTATGCTAGAAAAATCTTTCTACTATTAACCCATATCCCCACCTCTTGCTTTGTTTTGAGGCAGGATCTCACTCTGTATCTTAAACTTAGCTGGAATTCACTCTGTAGCTCATGCTAGGACCTGCCAGAAGTCTCCTGCCTTAACTTCCTGAGGACTGGGATTACAGCTGTGAGGCACTAGAGAATAACTGGATTTACTAGAGATGCAGGATCCTCTATGAGCAGCTAACATTAATAGGATATACTTGTTAAAATAAACAATACTATTATTAACTAAATTTCATGCTTTACTCAATTTATTATGTTTCTGTCTGATAATCTTTGTTTTCAGAAATCCCATTTAGATGGAACCTTACATTTGTGTCCACATTATCCTTAGTTCATATTTTCTTGTGGCATTCACATTCTTATTGGACCATGAATCAGGTTGGCAATTTGCAGATAAATGGAAATGCTTGGAATGTCTAGTTTAAGGGAGGTTCACTCAAGCATACACAGAGGTCCTGCTTTTTAAAAGCGAATGGATCTTTTAAAGATTCCTTCCGCAGATTTAAAACCTTGTTGAGGCTCCACTCTAGTGTGTGACATCTTCCAATGGGGCAATGTGAGCAGTCGTTACTTATCTGTAATATGAGGGTTTGGCTTATATAACATCTAAATCCATTTCTATCACATAGAAAATGGTCATCACCTGACGTTTGGGCACCTAAGAACAAGGGCACTCAACAGAAGATCAAGGGCCAAAGGCACCAGGGAATTAGAAGGGAAGTAACAGGGGTTCAAATAAAAAAGCCAGGAATTCATTTCATGCTATGTGGATTTTGCAAGTCATTTCCTCCGGTTGGGCTCCAGTTTCCTCACCCACAAAATGGAGAAGACCTGTTTCTGGTAGTTATGAAACTCCACGGAGCAATGGAGTGGAATGTATATAGGAAGATGCCCAGCAAGGAATCACACTCAAAGATCGAGCAGAACTAAGGAAGGCGCAGTAACGTTAAGGGCTACCAAGGTGTACCTAGCTAAACCTTTCCACAACCCAACCCCACCCACGCCTGCTCGGCCCTTCCACCTCGGTTCCGGCTCCACCTCCGTCCCGCGGCCTCCCGGGCCTGGGTCCCCACCCCCACCCTCCCCACCCCCGCCAGCGCGAACGTCGGGCGCGCGCTGCCACCTCACTCAGCGTCCGCCTGCTCGCCGCTTCTTCTGATTGGCTCAGCTTGTCAGTGACGTAAGCCTTTCTTACGTGTTCCTCCCCCTCCCCGTCACCCACCCGGAACTCGGTCCGCCTCCTCCTGGCTGCTCCAGACGCCCATGGAAGCCGCGCGGGAGGAGCCGGGAGAGCTGGGAAACCAGGAAGGCGCTGGCGGCGGCGCGCGCGCGCACGCACGCACGTCAGCCCGGCCGGCGGACGGCAGGCGCGCGCCCGTCTCGCCCCGCCCCGCGCCGCGCCAGAGGCTCGCGCACTCGGGTTCGGCGGCTGCGGCGGCTGCCGTGGGAGTCCGTGCGCTGCGCTGCGCTCCCCGCCGCGTCTGCGGCGCCCGCCCGCCCCCTTCCTCCTCTCGGCCCTCGGCCTCGGCGCCGGACCCCGGCAGCCTCCGCCCGGCCCTGCAGGGGCCGAGAGGACTCGGCGGCCGCCCTTCCGCTCGACCCCCTGGGAGAGGTCTGTGCGCCGCGGCGGCGGCGGCTCCTCCGGCTCCATTATGTCCGCGGGCGGAGACTTCGGGAATCCGCTGAGGAAATTCAAGCTGGTGTTCCTGGGAGAGCAGAGCGGTGAGTGCGCGGCCCTGGAGCACGGAGGCTCCCCGCCGGCCTACCCGGCCCTCACCCCGCCCAGCCTCCGGTCCGACGTCCCTTTCTTCCCCGGCTTTCTGGTGCCCCACCCTTCTTCCTTGCTCCTTTTCCGGGTCCCACTCCGGGAAGCCCCCCACTCTGGGAATGGGCCCCTCTTCAACCTTGGCTGGAAGAGGGTGGGATCTGGGCGTTGTTTTCCCCTGAGGCTTGTGCGGGTCTCCCGGAAGGTGGGAAGTGGTGGCCGTACAAAACAAGCAATTTCCTCCCAATTTTCCCTAAATGAGGAATTCGTTAGGGTTAGAGAGTTAATATATTCAACTCGAGGCGACGTGAAAAGAGATGGCCTTGTCAGTGACGGGTTTTGTCCCTTGGTTGGGACTAGTTGGAAAACCTAAATTTTCTTTTGGTTTTCATCATTGACAATTCTTTTGGCACTGTTGATGCCTTTCCGGTCTCTGCCAGATGCTATGTCATGATTAGTTTACTTCGATTTTTTTCTCCCCTCACTTCCATCTTTTTCTCGTTTCAACATGGAACAACATTTGAGTATCTTCATATGATACAAGCAAGAATTAACGGGTGAAATGTTAATTACTCATTTTTCTTCAGTATTTTCCAACTACGTATTTATGATGCATATGAGAAAGACTTAAAATCATGAACATCTTTGTTTTGTAGGGACGCCTTTGGGTATTAGGGTAGTAGTAAAGATCCATCATCTAGCTCTCTAAATTAGATTGGAATACCACTTGAGCTAACTGATTATTTTATACCTATTATTTCGTAGGGTCTTGTGAGTGAAATTGTAATGTCATTTACCTGGTCGAGGTTCTGCGGTCGCTGTACTCCCTATTAGATTCAAGGTCCTAATTTTGTGATGGTTGTCATTAAGATTACCTGGACAATAATTCAGAGAGCATAATCTTTTTTTCCCTCCACATTTTTTCATGACAGCTATTAAAATTCAGACACTGTGGGATTAGTTCCAAGTTATCAAGCATTGAATACCTCCTAGGTATCTTAGATGAGGTTATGGAAAACATTATTTCGAGTAGAAACTGATAAAATATTCTTAGGTTTTATTATTAGCATGAACTATTTATTCCTATTGAGAAGTTAACACTGGTTGTAATTTTGTCTTCAGCTGAACCTGAGAAATAATTTTTCTTGTTGCATGTTTAGATTTATCTTCCTTACAACCTTGTAGGGTGGAATGGTCATGTCTCCCTCCTGTTTGCTTATGGACATTTAAGTGTAGACATTTCCAGGCCAGCAAAATGGCTCGGTGAGTAAAACAGGTTCTCACCACACTGAACAACCTAAATTCAAAGAAGAACCAACTCCCAAAAGTTGTCCTCTGATCTTCATTAGCATCCACCTACAATAAAAAAAAAAACCCATAAATATAAAAGTGAAACATTTAAAATAAAATACGTTTTCTTAGATGAGTAACTTGATGAAGTCTGTGAAGTTGATCCTGATCAGCTAGTGTTATATGGCAGTTTCAGGACAGTGCCATACAGAAAATACATGAAAAGTTCACTGGTTATTATTAATAAATAGGTTTGAATGTACTTCTTGTGCAGTCCAGGGAGATGTTGACTGCCTCATATGGTGTATAGGACTACTTAGTTTTCACGAAATCTATTAATCTTTCTATTGAAGTTTTTAGCATGAGGAGAGAGCTTACCTTATAACTATATATATAGGTTTCCTTTGAATTTCTTGAGTGTTTATGTTGTAAATATTAGTTTTATGACTTCTAGTAGTTTCTTTTTCATTACTTTTTCTTTTTAAGGTAGAGTTATATTCTGGCAGCCCAGACTAGCTTCAAACTTGGAATCCTCCTGCCTCAGCTTCTGAGTGCTGGGATTTCAGTGGTGAGCTACTGCACCCATTTTTATTTTCATTTCTTTTTTTCCTATTTTGAAATTAATTTCTTTTTGAGGCGGTCTCATGTAATAACGCTAGCTATAAACTTATGTAACAAGATTTGCCTTGAATATCTGATGCTCCAGCCTCCACCCAAGGGCTGGGTTTGTAGGTGTTTGCCACTATGTTTGCTTTTATGTGGTGTTAGATGAGCACTATACATACTGAGCTATATCCTCAGCTATTAGTAAATTAATTTTTTTTAAGTTGGCAAGCAAAGTAATGTGTTTCAATACAGCTTTTTCATATTTGTGTGTGTGTGTGTGTGTGTGTGTGTGTGTGTGTGTGTGTGTGTGTGTGTGTACAGAGAGAGATAAGTCTTACTGTGTAGCCCAAGTTGGCATTGAGGGTATGAGATCTTCTTGAATCAGCCTGTCAGGTTCTGTCATTTTTTACTTTAGATAAACTTATCAACTGTTCTGTTTATGCATTCCCAGCCTTCCCAGTGACTACTAAATAATGCGTTTTTAGATTTAGCTGTGTGTGTGTTTCTATAGTCAGCACAGTTTTAGATGTACAGGAAATTGGTAAGATAGTACAGAAGATACTGTGCATCCTCATCATGTCCAGAATACATTTGTGAAAATTATTGGCTCAATATTGATTTCTTATTATCTAAAATTCGTTGTTTACTTGGGTTTCCATAGTTTTAAAAAACTCGATATTCTTTTTCTGCTTCAACTTTCAAGATACAACATTACATTCGATTTTTATAGCTCCTTAGATTTAACCTGCTTGCTTTAGGTTAAATCTTTTTTCTGTTTAGAACTGAGGTTAATGACCTTTTGGGGTCATCATATCGCTAAGTAATGAATGCCATCCAATAGTTTTGACACTGAAACATTGAGTTCTTTCTTTACAGTCAGTGCCTCTAGTTTTGTATGCACTACAAAGATCTGTAGAATTTATGTTACATTGATGTAACTTGCTATGAATTATTTATTTTTCAGTCTGTTAGAATTCACAAAAGATTATACTCTGTGGCATAGCCTTCTTTGTTTCCTTAATAGTATTCATCACATTTAGAATATTTTATGTTTGTTTTGCCTGTTTTCCAAAGCAGAACAGAATGCAGGTTCCATAAGATACAAATTATCTTTTTATGCTCATTGAACTGTTGCCTAGTGTAGAACCAGTCTCAGAAATATTTGGTGACAGAATAATAAGTAAATGTAATGCAGCCAAAGCCAATTGCCTATATTTTTTGTTATGATAAAAAAATCTACATTTTCCCCTCATAAAATTAACAGTTTAGTAATTACATTGCATACTTACATTATTTGATTATAAGTATATACTACAGATGCTGGAGTTTGGATATAGGAACTAGTAATTTAAAGGCTTAACCATTTCCCTGAAAAAAGCACCTATCTGCATATTACACCTTTTTTTTTCTTTTTGAGTTAAAAGGATTTTTTAAGCTATTAATTTATTGGCTATTTGTATAATTTATAGAAGTATGTCAAATATGCAGATGCTATAGTCGTGTAATTTTTATTTTGCTTTTCAAATGAAAGATACTCTGCTCAATAATGAAGATGAGTTGTTTCAGTACTTGGCAGAGCTAATTAATGGCACTTTTCTCTTTATCTTAGTATATGATAAAGGAATGTTAAACTACGGAATTCCTAAATTCAGGAGACTCCTTACTATCAGGCTATTGTCTGTAGGTTCAGAGGGACTTTTAGAATTCTTAGTAAGTGGTTTATGATGGATTTTACTGCAAATGTAATTGTTACTGGTTATTAGGAAATGATGACAAGAAGACTTGTATACCTAATACTGCTTTTTTTCACTTCATATCATTTTTTTTTCCGTCATCTTTTTGAACTACAATGTATTAGATAGGGAAAAAGTGTCAGAGGCTAGTAATACTGAACACTGTGATAGTGCAGTAGAGGTCACCCTGCTGTGTTGGGTATTATGTATTCTCTGAAAATTCTGTTTGGATAAGATCTGTTAAACCACTTAAAGTTTTTCAGTAAAGTACATAAGTGTTTACCAAGCACTGCATTTTCCAGACTTTCAGAAAAATGTTAACATTTAATTAATCTTCATAACACTATATACAATAAGTCCTGTCTATTTTTATTTTATAGATAAGGAAACTGAAACATAAAAAGATGTTGAGTAATTTGCCAAAGATCAGTGGCCAGTACCAACATAGGAAACTTGTACTTTGTGCTCTCAATTACTACTATCAAGTTTTAAGGTTTAAAAATAAGATACAGAAAATATTTCCATTAGGACTCGTAATTTGCAAAATGGAGCTGCAAGAAGGACAAAATGACAAATCCAGTAGCTCTCAAACTGATCTACTGACCCCCAGAGATCTCACAAGAGTCTGCAAGGGGAGAATCTATAAGCCCCATAGGGGTCCAGAATATTAAGATATTATGTGCTTTTCTACTCTTATTACCTTATAAGTATATAGTGTAGTTTCTGAGTGCCTACCTGATATGTGTCAGAAGCAACTGTAAGAATATAACCATCTTCTATTCAGGAAAACATTAAGGAGTTTTGCAAATAGTGTAAAACAGTGCCACCCTCACTAAATTTTTGTTTGTAAAATGATTGCTTTCATAAAAATTGTTAACATGCAATAAGATTTATTACTATTTTTAGATTTACTAAGTCTTTTTAATTTTCATAGTTAGATTTCAGTAAATACTAATGCAATCTACATAAACAGAATTCTTCAGTGTCCTCAGCAATTTTTAAGAACTACCAATCCAACCACAAATGGTAGTACTTGCCTATAATCTCAGTATTTAGGAGGTAGAGGCAAGAGGATCAAGAATTCCAGGTTTTATCGACAACCATCTTGCTGCCCCTACCTTATTTATGTATAGGTTTCTCACTGAACCTAAAGTTTCCCAATTTCTCTAGACTGGATGGCCAGCAAGGTCCAGGAATCTTGCTATCTATGCATTTACAGTGCTGGTATTACAGGCATACACCAATGTACCTGCCTTTTTTTTTTTTTTTATTAATGTCCAACTCAGGCACTTAATGCGCAAGTGCTTTACTAAGCCATTTTCCTCGTC